TGGTCTGATATCCTTTCACAGTTTGCATGTATACTGCCCTTTTGCCCAACTCTAGGGTGTAATATTAAGCACCACGTATATGAAAACACATTTCTGAATGCTGTATTTACATCCTATTACATCCTAATGAATAGAAGATAGTTTGCTTAGTAAATGTTAATGTTTACACCCCTAGCTGTAAAGCATCCTAAAATATACTTCCTGATGCAGTAAAATCTGAAGTGGCCCCTTATGTGACTAACATCTAAAAGACGCCATGAGAGGAAAGGCCACTCTCTTGAACAGGCACATGGTAAAACGGAGTTAGAAAGCATGGATGAATTAATTTCCAGGAGCTAATTGCCACAATAGCAAACAGTATGTTTGCAGACAACATATAATGCAAATTCTCTACCAGATCATGCTTCTGTAAATATCCTTAGCATTTACAAGTTGAATGAAAATATCAGGACGAGTTCACATGATCTAAACTTTACCAACAGAACTGAGATATCCATAGCAGAATATCAGAGTCCATATTCTGATGAGCAGCAGTAGGCACTGATCACACACAGCCTTGTTTCTGTCCCTGCTTGTTTCGTATCAGTGCAGCTCCTCTGACCTGGCACATTCCACGGTTGCCTGGATGCCTACTGGTTCTCACAACTTCCCAGATGAATTTCCCAGGCTGCCAATGGATTCCTGCTGCCATTGCATGAATTGGGTGTTCACGTTACCATGGCATTCGGGGCTGCGATGAAATTAAAGCACAGGCACAGTTTCCCTATCTGTCACCTGAATGTCATCACCTGGAAACTGCAAGAGCAACAAGTACTTTTAACTGTTGAGCCACCTGCCCAGCACTTGGTTTATTGTTACTTAATTAACTACTGTGGAAACTTAAATTAATGAAGAGTGAGACAGAATTCATGGAGTACTGAGAACACTTTCTTAGAGTGTCAGCTCATGAAAAATGGTGACAAAGATCTGGGGTGACAAAGACACACTGAAAAGTTTGAGTAGCAATAGGTGCTGGTTGTAAAACCTATTTGTCCATAATAACGTGGCTGAGGTCTTACAAGCAGAAGAAAAAGTCAATCTCAAGTAGGATATGGAAAATTATTTAAAACATTTTGTTGAAATTAATGAAATAGAGACTAGAGAACAATACAATGAGTCAAAGCGACAGACCTGTTTCTGTGAATTGACAAAAGTAAAGACGAAGCATTTTTCACCTAATCCAAGCTAAAGAAATGAATCCCCAAATAACATAACTAGAGTTTTTAAAAAAGACATTGCAGAGTATCCCAACGGCATTAGAGTTACTTTATGGAGTATTGCAGGAAGTCGTACACAAGAACAAATGAACAAACAAACAAAATAAGATAACCAAAACAAATTGGAATTGAAAAAAAAAAGGACAGGCTCCTAGAAACAAGTAAAAATCTCAACCTGTTAAGGTATAAAACTAGAAAAGGTATTAAGCAGTATTAAGATTGAAGCAAGAAGTTTCCTCAACAGTGTGTGAGGACTGGATGGATTCAGAACATAACTCCTTTCCTTTAGATAAGCCTTAGATATACTAACACCAGGAGGAGATGAGTGGATAACACAAAGAAAAGAAATGGTAGAAACTCATTACACAAAGCTAGCTTTAACTCAATCCCTAAAGCAGGTGAGGCCAAATACCAAAAGCAGATGAGCCCAAACAAACAAATTCAAAGAAAAACCACAGACCAGTTCCAGGATCAAGATAGACACAGATTGTCTCTAAATTACATGGAAATGAAATGGGAGCTGATTTAATGCCAAGAATGCAACACTGTTGCAACACCTATAAATTAATCTAGACTCAGTGAGAGAAGAAATGTGATCATCTCAATGGATCCATGAAAGGCCTGTGGCAAAGTATTACATATGTGCATAATAAAAGCTCTGAAGAATTGACAAAAACAAAACAAAACAAACAAACAAAAAAAAGGAATATGCCTTAGCATAATAAAGACAACCAGACATAATCCTAAACCTGACAATACAAAAGACGTCTGGAATGATTTTGCCCTAATCAGGACAGAGAAGGTTGTCCTGCACGCTCAAAACATTGCATCACTAGGTACACTGTTCAAGGACAGAGAAAATGCTAAAGGTAGTAAGAAAGGGGACCTCTTACATAAGAAATAAAATTGTGCAATTTCAAAGTAGAAATACTCAGGAGAAAGCTAAGATCTGATATGCTACTCATATGCTGTATAATGACAATACAACTTTTTTTTTTTGTTTAAACATACAAATAAAAAGATCTGAGAGATCAGCAGATCACTCACAGTGTCTAAAAAGTATCTCAGGCTGTCAAAACTGCTGTGTAGGCTGGGTCCGGGGATAGAAATCTAATGGCCATACCTAGATTTGGATCCCGTGTGCTATAATCCCAATCTGCCAGGCAAGGAATGCCCACTGGTGTCATAGAGGCAAGACTATTCTGTGAGTAATAAAAGGTTTTCTGGTTTCATCTGAAGCTGGCTCCACAGAAGGAAATACATGGATGGTACCAGGGACCTGGCCAAAAGCCAGTGATGGTGAAGGTCACAGGTCCTAGGTGGGAATCCACTACTGACATTCTGCTACATGTACAAATAGGCAAACAGCCTTATACAGCTCTCATCACACTCACATCCTGGTCCTGCTTTCAGCCTAGGTCTAAGAAACATTGTTTTCAATGGGCAAGAGTTATTTCAGAGATTCATAACTGGTCAAACACTGAGAACAACTGACTGCTTACTGCACAGGCTATGACTGGAATGCCATAGTCACACATCTAAATTGCAGAGAACATTCTATAAGACAAGGGGAAAGATTTTAAGAGCTGAAGCATGGGGAGGTGACATCTGAAAAACTCTCTAGTCATATGACATATCAGTTGGAATTAT